CATCCGAGTTTTCATAACATGGGGCCCTTGACAACAATAATGCTCACCCAATTATGCCTGGCTGTGGAAGGCCCTCAGAACCTAGACTATATGCTTCAACCTGTCCAGACTTGAGCCCTTACGCTGCAATGACCATGTTTCCAGATTCCAGAGGCACCGCCATCCATGTAGCGCTTTCGCCTGGCATCCAAGCTCTGCAGGTGATAACAATGGATCCCTGTAGGGGGGATGCAGGGGAGTGCTGGGGACATTTCTGTAGGGGCTCGCTGTAGTGTCCCCGCAAGTACATATTGCCAGAGCTCACGCAACGAGATCTTGGCACGGACGGTGTATACTCGACAAAAACTCCTGAGCTGTCGAATAGCCACCGGGCATGTGATCAACACCACCAATAGGCTGATCATCCTTCATCGCCGGCATTACGCGCATTCGACAATATGCGAACAAGAACCACTCTTCGCACAAGGCTACTGAGCCGGTCAATGGGCAACCCGCCACCTATGAGTTACCATGTGCCTGGCCTCGGCTCTTAAAGGGGACTTTTGAGGGGAAATGGAGGTGCTACGTAAGGGGTATACTGGGAAATCTTAGCAAGCTTACTACCTTACTGCCAAACTTCATCCAAACTCAAGCTGAGGTAGACCCAACATGCAGTGCGCCAGATCGTCCGTGCCGGAGCCTTTCGCTTCATTTAGTTGCCGAAGATTTGGGATGTCCTTCTGTGGACCCTACTGTAAGGAAGCTCGGTGCTTTCGTGCACTTTGCACACAACATCCCCCACGTCTCATGGATGGGGGATTTACCACGCTGTCGGACGCCTTGTCCGGCTCTCTGGCACTTCGGGGTTTGGGGCACGTCGACCTGGGATTTTTGCTTAGTCAAACTTGGGTCGCGCATCACATGGCATGTCCGCATACGGAACGTTCTTTTCTCAGCATTTCCCAGCACTAGCGCCTATTTGAGACTTCAAGGAACCTATTTTTCAAGTACCACTTAAAAGGAGCGAGAAAACACAGGGTGAATAGCAAAAATGTAGTAGACTTGCCTAGGCCCTGTGGCACATAAAGCGATCGCAGAGTTCAGTACCCACGTACGGCGCAGGCCATGCAGTCATGCGTCCTGCAATTGTTTAAGGAAGGCTTATGCTTTCATGGGATAGGACATCAATCCCAAGCAGGCGGTTGTAAATCTAACGGCACAAGCGTTGCCTTCCAGGCAGTTGCTTGACTGGGCGGGCAGCGTCCAAGAGAAACTTGGACTGCAGAATGATGTTCATCACACACAATTGCATATGCAACTACCTGCGCCTGCTTGAAAGCATAGCCGGTATTCTGCAACCGTGCGCTTACACGAGCTGTATTGAAAATGAAGAATACAGCTTGGGTGGTCAACAGGTGGGCAAGAGATTATTGCAAAACACGTGTGGCAAGGAAGGATGGGCATTTTCTTGCATCCTGAGGCCATGACATGTCTTCAGGACACACTTTTCGCGCAGGAAGAACAATCAGTGATATGCCTACATGCAATGATCCAAGCCTGACAGTTGAAACTACAACATGGGCGATGAAAAACATGGATTGGCATGACCAAGCAACTGGTTGACTGAGCAGGTGGCCATCTGAGGGAAGTTTGCACTGCAGCGCAATGTCCTAGGGTTTAGGGTTTAGGTTTTAGGGTTTATCTCAATGGGTCCATGCACCCAGTAATTTGGTACATGGGATCACAAGCATTCGCATATCGAACTACTTGCCAGCAGCCACGGGGACAGCCCTGAAAACAGAACGAGCGGCATGAAACCATGACCCTGCAGTTACACGCCTTAGGCTGAAAGAGCAAACACGGCTTAGCTGGTTAACAGGTGAGTAAGGATTGTTGCAGAACGCGGGTGGAATGTGGGAACCAGCACTGTCTCACATCCCTAACCATGAAATGTTCTTAAGAAAGACTCTTGCCGACAAGTGGTCAATTACATGCCTACATGCAATCACTTTGCAATTAAGTAAGGGTGATGGACGCAGAAAGCGAGATCTGCGACATGCAAGGGCATGTGCTGCAATCCACCCGTTCGAACGTTGCGCCCTGAAAATCAAGAACTTCGCTCGGTGGGTCGACATCTGGACATAACAGTCTGTCTTAGAGAGTGTAGAAAGCAGGCACAAGCAAGTCCTGGCTTTTGGGCTGGGGCTGGGAATGTACTTCGGGAATGAGATATTGTGAAAAGACGAATGATTCAAACAACACGGGCCCTGGCTCATGTGCCGCTCGTTCTGCGAACGAGTTGTAGCAGCATCAGGACTTTTGTGCAGGTTCCCCACGCTATCCATGTAAAAGTTTCCAATTTATCCCTGTTGGGGTTGCGGAGTGCTAGCCGTCGAATGGTGTACACGCATGATAGGTGGAAAAAATATTTTTGGGAAACGTGCACGTGTAATGTCAGAGACATAGACGCATAACTTCACGGCCGATGCATGTGCCTGTCGACAGGTTTGCTGGAGCGAACCTCTTCAAAAAGTTGTTCCCTCGAATCCTCTCCCATCTGGACGATGCGACGCCCTGTTTCGTGCCCTTGAATGCATTCTCATCAAAAAGATGCCTTTTTGACAAACACAATCTGCAACATAAAGCCATTCCCGGCGTGCGACAAGAGATGTGGTCAAACGTCGACGATTGACACGCAAATTTTGGGGGTGGCATGTGCAACGGATGGGATGGTGCCAACGCTGAGTTTGCGCCGCACCATTGTCGTAATCATACGGTCCACATTGGCCGATTGGCCATGCAATTCCAATCAAAATCCTTCATATGCAAGCTCGGTGTGGGCCCACCCCAATTTCCAGAATTTCTTATGGCCCCGCGTAGGTGCCAGCTTTGAGCCTCAACAATGGCGGAATGCAACCACACTAGCACTGAGCTGCAAGGCCTTGCAAGCATCACCAGCACATTCTGCAAAGAATAAGTGAAATTCAAGGCATACTTTTGCATCAGAACTATTGCAAAACATGATTCAAAACTCATTGCCATACGCCCTGTATAAGTATGAGCCGCGCAAACTACTGAAATCAACGTTGCTAACCTCATTGACACCATGACCCGGTTTGTTTGAATCTGCCCGCCGCACATTTTAAACTGCAAGGTTTCATCTCGTTTTCGGGCACGCACGCCTCGAACTGGCGAGAATCTCTGTAGGTCATGTGATAAATGCCCATTGCACGATAAGATTAAGATTCACAACCTTAGTTCTTTTATAACATACCAGGGCAATCCAATATGTTAGGATCATCAATCAAATAAATTTCATCGGAAAAAAAACACCATATTCCATCCAATCAATCGACACGACAATCAACGTACAGGCACTTTTTGACGTGGGGGATTCGATGCAAGACTAGGGCCCACGGCACGACACACACCGAATGATGTGGAGCGAAACATGAATGGCGGCAGCCAATGGGACATAGTACGTGCTCGCTGGTACTTACCAGCAAGGATTGCCTATCCCAAAGGGTTGGGCGGGCGGGACAAAAAAAATCCTCGACTGGAGGAAGTTCCCTCCTACTCCACCCACTTGAACCGCGCATACAAGATGGAAATCACATGAGATAAACAAGATAACAACACGTCTTCACGATGTCAAAACTTAATTACCGCTCAAAACATTCAGTGCCCCGAATTGTTTTGGACATGAAACAGTTTATTTCTCAGGAAATAAAACTTTGCACCCAGACTCTGCCCAATCGAGCTGCCTCGGCAGCAATTTCTTTTGGAAGCCACAACCCGCCTTCATACAACAGCTGAAAGGACAGGTTCATTGCACAGGTAGCCTGATACATCAAACACAATCGGGGATCTTCACGATGCTCTGGGCGGGCAGCAAAGAAAAATTGAATGAAACCCATGTAGATGGTTGTATCGTTGTGCTTCGACCAGCTGGCATCAGGACATACTTGATATGAGGTCAAACCAATTCGATCGGCACAGAAATCTCCAGAATGAGGTCGATTTTCACGACTTGGCTTGCCCCATTCGTGCATGATCGCTGCCATGGCTTCGATCTTGGCATCCTTAGAATTGCCCGGTAATAAACCCAACACTTTCGAACATCATGTAAATGATCGGGCCTTGAGGCTTGGGACTTGTGCTCTGCAGGGCAAGTAGCATCATTTAGCTTGGCCGCCAAATCAGCCATCTTTGCACTCTTGACAATCAGGCACTGCATACTCTTGGCCACATGGGCAAGCACGCCCTGAATGCAGTTTTGTTTGATTAGGGGTTCGATTAAAAATCTAAAAGGGTTCAAGGACAACAACCCAGAGGAAAAAATGCTGCCTCGCCCTCAACCCCACCGTCAGTAGGTGGCATCCATGCTTCCATGGAATTGCCGTCACGGCCCAAGTTACAAGCGATGGCATGTCTGCTGCATCAGATCATGTCGACCCCCACAGAGTCAGTAGTTCGGCCATTCTCGGAATATGACAACTCACCACTCTTGTCTGTCTCGACCCAGTGCTGCAGGACTTTGGGGTTGTATTTCCATGGCCTCCCAAACGCACACTGTTTTTCTGAACTACCTGTGGCTGAGGATGCCGCCTTCAGAGAGCCGGCCGAGTGGAGGTGTACTCCACCACAGCTTTGATGTCTTCCCTGGGTGATAATTCGGCTAAGGGTATTGAGGCTGCATGTGAAGCGGGTCGGAGGCATGTTTGCAGCTGAGGGTCTCAGTGAAATCAAGCCTTTTGACCATTTGGGTTTGCGTGTACCAGCCTGCGGTGACCGTGAGCTTCTTCTTCATCTCCTTCTCGAGAGTCTGCACCACCTTGCGCTTCAGCAAATCTTGCGAAGTGTGTGCACACATTTTTCTGCGCAGTCCCTGCATCGATCTATATGAACCCAAAGAAATGTGTGTTTCGGTCCTTCTTGAGGTCACTCTGCTTGAACAACGCCATAAGAGTAGCGCGGTCATCACCACCCTTCTGAAACATTTTCTGCAATCTTCCCCGGCCTCACAAATACCTGATTTCTTGATTGCGCAGCCTACGCAAGCGCTGCTCCACAGCAGAATCAGATAGATACTTCCCATTGACATAGACATGTCCACCGGCTTGCACCTCGACCTTAGCTTGCAAGCAGAGATCATTACTGTTGAGCACGCCTGCCTGTGTGTAAGACATGAGACCTGCTCCTCGTTTGCGCGCGAGCTCACTGAGCCTTTGCGTGAGCTCGAAGCTTCTGTCCTCAGAGGCAAAGTGCTTGGCGCCGGGGAATCAGATCGGGATGAGGCAGGGGGTGGCGTCGAGCTCGTAGAATTGCCCTGCGCAGCATCATGGCACCACTGAACTAGCGCACGTCTGCGGGATTCAAGCTCAGCAATCTCTTGCAGGCACATGGTGTTGATCTGATCCTGTGGATAACAGAAGCTCTTGCGGAGTCACACTTCAAGAAAAGATAGCATGTCCTTGCTCAGCTTGTTGGTGACATCAGGAGGCGACTTCTCCTTCATCACTAGGCATGAAGGACACACGCCGTCATGACTGCTGCATTCGCTTTTTATTGTTGAGCCAGACGGTTTGAGCCATTTGGCAAAATACATTCCCAATTACAAGTGCATGCGAATAGCACAGGGACATACAAAGGATGCAAGTTGAACATCACGAGTGATAGCAAGTGGAACCCTGCAAACACAAGGAACAACAATGCACGGACCTTCATTTTCACAGCGATGGGGATTCCACGTCCTCAGGCGCAATGGCCAGCATTGAACATCCGGGTGACGCTCAAGCGGGTCAAGGAATACACATGGCCAGAGGAGCCAAAGTTGGCGGGTTAGGGATTACTCCTAGCACAGACGGCGCTGCGCACACACGGGAAAACCATAACTAGAACCTTAACCCCCCACACGGGAAAACCATAACTAGAACCTTAACCCCCGGACCATTTCAAGAGAGCATCTCAAGTTTGCGTCATTAGCGTTGACAATGCTGACATTGTGAAAAAGGCGGAAGCCACACGGGTTGGGCGGGTGGGGCAAAAATTTTCCTGGCTGAGAGCCACACCACTGCAAGAACACAAGCATGTGCAAGTTTGACCCGGGAAACAAACTGGCGTTGTCAACCTTACGGGAAAAGTTTTTGTTTTTCATTAGGCGCATAAGGAAAATTGGCTCAAACGAATTTTGCACCCAAGCAAAATTCAACGCCGGCACAACAATAAAACACTCTCCCCTGCCCGGGGACGGAATGCTTATTGTTGAGCCAGACGGTTTGAGCCATTCTGGCAAAATACATTCCCAATTACAAGTGCATGCGAATAACACAGGGACATACAAAGGATGCAAGTTGAACATCACGAGTGATAGCAAGTGGAACCCTGCAAACACAAGGAACAACAATGCACGGACCTTCATTTTCACAGCGATGGGGATTCCACGTCCTCAGGTGCAATGGTCAGCATTGAACATCCGGGCGACGCTCAAGCGGGTCAAGGAATACACATGGCCGGAGGAGCCAAAGTTGGCGGGTTAGGGATTACTCCTAGCACAGGCGGCGCTGCGCACACACGGGAAAACCATAACTAGAACCTTAACCCCCTTTCATCCGTTTCAGCTTTGCAGAAATTCGATAATGGATGCAAGGTGGGCTTTGACATCGGTGCACGCAACGGATTGATTTTTCCAGGCAAGATGCGCAAACTTCCTTCGGGACGGGGCGTCCATT